ATGCATTCACTCATAACACCCAGTTCTAAGTTGTATTCATCATAAGGCCTAGGTTTTCTTTTTGTATATTAATTTTCTTAGACTGAAATCCAGCGTAGGCATTTTTATGTTAAATCTTAAAAGGTCACGAATGATTTTCATTAATATCATTCGTCATGCTGTCCAAAAATTGCCTAGAGCTTAAAAGTAACTTGTTAGATTTCCTCTTTCCGTAGTCTGTGGGGGTGATTAACCTATAATTTGGTCAGTACCGATGTTGCCTGTGTTGGTCTGTTGACAATTAAAAAGGATCAGCGATAATGAAATTAAATTAAACTTATATGAATGTAATTTTGATATGTGAATGTCTATTTATGAATGTCTGGGTTTGCTATGGAAGCTCAAGAGCATCCTTACTTTCACTTAGTTCCTCACATTCTGATCATACCTGACTGACCCCTTCTTTCAGGTCAGCCAGGGAACATCTTGCTCTCATTACTATCCTGTTACAGCCGGAGCCCTGCTGCAGTATAGTATCCTTGGTTTGATCCTTTGTTCAATGTATACTGCTGACTTACCTACCCATCCTGACACATCCATTCACACTTTTGCAGATGATATTGCTCTCCTATCCTCAAATAAAGATCCCATCCTGTCACTTGTTCCTTACAGGCTCACGTAATCAAACTAAAATCTTGGTTAAAAAGTGGCATATAAAAATAAATGTAGATAAAAGCCAACATATATTCTTTGCCCTCTGATATGGAATTATGCCACTATTATACCTACATCTACTACCTTGGGCTGTACATTGACAAAAGACTAAATTCCACATACAAGGCTAAAAAAGCAGGAACTGACTATACGCTACAGACCACTCTCATGGCAGATAACAAACGATCAAAACTGACACATCACAAGAAACGACCGATATATGAGACAACAAATAATCCTATTTGGACATACAGCATTGACAATGGGGTTCAACCAAACATTCCAACAATCATCTCATCCAGATTTTCCAATCAAAAATCCTCAAAAAAATAGTAAACGTTTCCTTCTACCTTTTTTTTTTTAATTTATTTACAGTCCAAACAGGTCAGGTACCCAAGCATAGGACCGTCAAGCACTAACTTATAAACATAATTGTAGATAAAGGCCAACATATAACCTTTACCTCCGACATAATGCCACTACTGGGTTGTACAAAAGATTAACTTTGAATCCCCATACAAACCTAAAAAAACAGGAACTGACTAGTAGCTACAGAGCACTCTCAGGACTGACTGCTAGACTTATGATTAAAACATGATGCTTCACAAGAAATGACCGATATACGAGACAATAATCAAACCATTTTTACAAACAGCATTGAACTATGGGGTTCATTCAAACATTCCAAAATCCTCAGAAAAATAGTAAACGCTCCCTTCTACATATCTAACCACACAATCCACAATGACCTTAAAATTCCTTTTGTCAAAGATGTCATAAAATCCCAATACATAAAATAACACAACTCCCTTTCATTTCAGCCCAATCCTTTAGTATACCTGACATCCGAAAATATCCCCAATAAGGATGTTGGAGGACCAACAAGGAGATTGACGCAGCAGTGGCCTCATGACCTGTTGGGCAGTGGATCATAGCATGTAGACACTACTAGAAGTTTTTTCAATTTGTACATCTGAACTATTTTACTTATAGTATAAAAATAAATACTGTTGTAAAAAGAAAGAAGGGAAAAGAAAGTCTATCTAAGAAGAATTATGGTAGGACTGTATTCAGTATAAATGATTAAAAATTAATGTATTAACATATTTTTCAAATAAATAACTATAACTTTCAATGGTTTATTTCATTTCCAATTTCAATTCGAGGAATGATGTTTTTAAATTTTAGAGAAACAAAACTATTTTTTTGTAATTTTAGCTTAAATTTTGTCTTAAAACAACTGACAAATCAAAACTATTAAGATTTGGAATATATAGTCATTCCTTATTATTATTAATATAATAATTATATTATTAATATTGGACACTCTCAACACGACACACACAATGACCCATCTACACAGAAAAGATCTCAATAAAGATCAAAATTCACTAATTTCGTGGTCTGCTTGACCAATTAATATATTACAATTAATTAAGGTTTTTAGTTTAGATAAAAAAGTCAATGGCACGAGCAAGATTCGAACCCATGATCTTCGGTTAGATACGCCGTTGCTCTACCACTTGAAAAATGGCAAAAAGGAGGGAAAATGCAAAAGGTGGGGTTGAGATGGGAAGTTAGTGTCTGAGTGGATCGAGGTCATGATAGCTCAAATGGTAGAGCAGCGGCGTATCTAGCCGAAGATTGTGGGTTCGAATCCCGCTTGTGCCATTGACTTTTTTATCTCAACTAAAAACCTTAATTAATTGAAAGATCAAAATGTTGGCACAATAAAGAAAATGTTTTTCTAAACCTGCGTCACACCAGACCGCATCTCATGATCTCCAAATAATTATTAATATATTTTTAATTGTTTATTATTAGCTTATAATGGTCAGTTAGTTTTTATTTGCTTTTTTGTTTACAAATAGAAATTATTCTTTACTTACAATTATATAAGGCTATTTATAATTCAATATTCTAAAAACACTGGGTTTAAAATAGTTGCCCTTTGTGTTGTTTTTCCAGGTAAATGTCTTGACTATTGTTTCCGTGTTTCAGCACTAGCATTAAAGATGTTAGTTGGCACCAGAGGGGACAGTAATTGGTGGTTCTACTTACTACTACTTCGTGTTACTTCATTTGTTGGTAAGTGTTTACTTTTTTATTTGTTATCGCATCTGCTTTCTATGCAATTGCAAGAGCTGTTAGCTTAATTTGAAAATTTAAATTCTGATCACAGATTGTTTTATTTAATAGTTGATGAAACCTATTAAAGCACCTACTTTAGTTCAAATTTCTGTTTTCATATAGTACTCTTGTTGTAAAGTTGTTAAAAAACTTGGTTAAGTTTGATAAACTTGATGTCTCAAGCCTATATTATTTCATGTTTAAATTGATTTACAAGATTAATTGTTTTGTTGTCAAGTGATGGATCGACTGTGTGTGTTTATGTGTGTAATTATCAAGTATTAGGTCAGAATCAGAAATACTTCCAACTTCATGGCAAGCTTTTGTTTTTTGCATAAACATATTCAGTGCTGAGCTGGATCATAATTTCTTTGAGGCATAGAAAAATACTAATGATATATAAAATATAAATAAAAAATTTACAACTATTAAAATCTTTAACAAACATTGAATTCATATTTGACTTTTCCAATGTGGACATACAGTTAGATGAGTCATCTCGTAATTAATATTATTTTAGTAGGAAACCAGTCATAGCTTTGTACAATAGCTTGTTTGTATAATTCTTGTTTCAAATTAGATATCAATGAACAGTAAAATAGCAGATGATTAGTATTTGCTCACTTGTACCATAGCACATACACAATGATGAATTATTAAGTTTAAACCTATATACATAATTTTTAAATTTACCATGCCAAGTAAGAAACATAGATTGGGATAATTTAGCTGTATATGTGTAGGTAAAACGACCCTTTGTTGTTTAAGATCTTGCCACTCCTATCTTTGTAGACTTGTAAAATGACTTTCTTGCTTGCATCACTGGTCATAGGTCATATCCAAAATAGTAGGTGATGCTTATAAAACCTCCAAAACTGCAAGACCATATAGAGGCCCAAAACCTATACTTCAGATAACAAGGAGGAAAGGACAAACACAGACTTCACCATCTCAGAATGGGTCCACATCAACCTGAAAGGAGAAGTGGACGAACTCTATCTAGACAATTAGACAAGTTAGAACTCAATAAACTCAACACACCGTACATGGGTGCCAGGGCATGAAGGAATTTTAGATAATGAACAAACAGACAAACTTGTCAGAGGAGGGTTGGCCCAGAATCTACACTTGGTATAAAACGTACAAACAAAGACTCCCCAATCTCAAAATGGGTCCACAAGAAACAAAAGAAGTGGCGGTAGATTGATAAAGACGTGTTGGAGTGAATTGGTAGGTCAAAAGTATAATTGCTGCATCTTACTCAGAAGCAGCGATCATTTAGTTAGAAATTTGGGATTAGATGATAAAGGATTGGATAGAAACTGTTTACGATTGCACAGAATTCCCTGATACCACACTCTTGACTAATTTGTATAAGCATTGTTCATATACATGTGCACTTATGCTTATACTTCTTGCTTATGACGTCTTGCAAGCAGCCAGCATCACCTATTTCAGGTCGTGGCAGTTTAAGTTCAAACCTTGGTCTTATTTGTTCTGGCACAGCAGTTAGGAGCTGTCAATAGGTAGTTCATTTCAGCCTCAACGCATGCAGTTTTTAAACCTATACATACTCTCACCTCCTAAAACGTTCTTTTTGATTTATGTATCATTCACTCTATTAGGGTGGAGTACTCGATATTCCTCCGTCATCCAAGTATACTTGACTATTGAATGCTTTATTTAATTTTTTTACAGAATTAAGATTATTCTTCACTTTTGAAAAAACTTTCAAAAGAGACCCTTAAATTTCCATAGATTGTTTATAATCTGTTTTTACTTAGTATTTGTACAACAGTTTTTCACTGAACATGCTTCACTTCAAGGCAGACCCCAAAATTGCTGGTTTGACATGAATAAATCATTATTATTTTTTGTAAAGGATGGCTCTTACTCACAGGTTTTTAACAGGATCTAACAGGTTTTTTGGTTAAATCTTTGAGTAAGAGCACGTCTTTACAAAAAGTAAATAGGTGTAACTCACTCGCCCTTCATTATTTCTATGATTAAAATATGTTAATCCGTTTTTATATGGCACCATTGTATTTTATACACCTACATCCATGCTTAAAATGAAATATTCATTTCTTTATTTCACTCTTCTTATATATTTTATTTAAAGTAGCTACTATCTTTACGGGTAATGGATAGATGTGCTAGATATTAAACAAACAAAAAATTGTTAAAAGGGAAATATATTTTTTTCATATTATAACTAATATACAAAATTATTAATCCATATGTACATACAACACATACAATCAAGAACAAAAATAAGACAATCGGAGCTGAATGAAAGCTCGACACTTTGACTCAACAATTGAAATTATAATAAACGCCAACGTAATTCATTTTATCCGTCTTGACTCTTTATCTGTTCTACCTCGTATTTGCATTCACACTTATACATATACCGACGTTAAATACATTTGATTCTTACAATCTTACCACATTTCATTCGTTATAACCCATGCTTATGGGCAGACATGAACATTCATTTGCTACCATTGAATTAGGTACAGTCTTCCAACAATCCTTAAGTGGTACAATTAAAGATTTGTATGTGCGCTAAAAAGTTCATGCATATTTTGATAAATACGCACAAATCGCAAAAATTATATATATATATTATTAATATGACAATTTTAAAACTAGTTCTAAAAATGTTTCTAAATGCTCGACAAACTATTTGTTTATTTATTTTTTATATTTATGTACAAAGGCAATTTAATTTTAATTACATATTCAATTATTTATTAATACTTTTAAAATATAGTTTTCTTTTTCAAAAATAAATCAAAATTGCTCTTTCTGAATGGCACTTCATTCCATGTTGCACAGCCTTCTTTATCTGTGCCATTATTTTCTTTGTAGCCCCAAAATACATCACTCATAAATACTACAAAAAATGTTTAATAAAAATACATATTTGTTTAAACAATAATTTAAATTAGACACAAATTAACAAAACGCTATAATAAATAAAACTCAGAATAATTTGTTTTTCTTTTTTGTTTTAAGTGGTTCGCTTGTTTTTCGGTAAAAATCATTATTATTAACAATCATTTTATTTTAAAGTTCTAAGAGACATACGGACAACAAATATAGTCAAAAACATCAAAATAAATATAGTCAAGAAATCATAAAAAGATCGTTTCAATTATAGCAAAAATAATGCTCTTAAAAAGTAAAACATAAAAAAAAGAAATCACAGTTATTGCTTCTTGATTCTACGCACATGTTCACTAGCGTCCTCCAAACAAATTAAAATATAATTGCAATAAAAAGTCTTAAGGGAATTAAAATTGGAAAAAAAGTCCTAGAAATGTCCATGCTTCCTCTTCCGTAATATCAGATCAGACGTAGACCTCACCCCTCCTGTGCTGTGAGGTCACGCTCGTCTTCCTGCTGCGGTCCTCGTTGCTCGATGTGCTGCCGCTTGAACTGCCGCATGCGCTGTCGCTGCGGTCCTCATGAGGCATCTCGATTATCTTGGGTGTGCCGTCTTGGCTCGGCGCGGCCGTCGTCACGAGGTTGAAGGACGTCAGCAGAGGCTGAGCGCCCGTCGACGCTATGACGCCTGGGGTGACGGCCACTTGGATCGGCTGTCCGATCATCCCGGTCAATCCTGCTGATTTGAGCGTCGGCGAAAGGACCGCCTGAGCCAACGCAGCTGTGCTCCCTGTTGACGTGATAGTCGACTGACTGCCGTCCAGCTCCTGAATGGTCGAGAGCATAACCTACAATTATGAATTTATACGTTTAATTCTTTAAAAACTGACATCGAAATGATCCTATATTTGAAATGCCAGTGTAACAAGTCTTTCGATTCAATAGACCACTGCCTTCTCATTAACAAATTGATGGGTATTGACTTGTTTAGACCTGGACTGATTTTATAAAACTTAAGTGATCGCACACAAAGGATTGAAATAAAACACTCACTAAGCTCTGAAGTTCTTACAAATGCAGGAGTTACTCAGGGACACTCCTTGGTCCAATTTTGTTTTTAATGTATATAAGTGATTTACTTAAAATGGACATATCGGCTTTTTGAATTTACTGATGATACGGCTTTACTTTATTCTGAAATTAACTTAGATCTTTCTTAATCTTACGAAAACCCCGGGGTGGGTGATTTTTGCAGCTTGCTCCGAGAAGTCATAGATCCGACTGTCCACATGTATATGTGCAATATGTGCAGAATTGAACCTTTATAAATCAATCTGTCAATTATAGAAAATAAAATCACGTTAAACCTTCTTAGATATTCTTTTTATGTAAAGTCTTAGTTGAGATGAAAAAGTTAATGTCACGAATGGGATTCGAACCCACGACCTTCGGCTTCGAATCCCGCTCGTTACACTAACTTTTTCATCTCAACCAAGACTTTCCATAAAAAGAATAATTAATTGAAGGATGTAATTTGGTCAATTAGACCACTAAACACAAATGGCCTGAAATATATTTAGTTTTTACCAGTAACTGTGATTCTTCCCTACCAAGAATATTAAATTACAAAACCCATTGACCAGTGGTGAAAAACTACTAATTTAATTATTTAAAGTGTAAAAAAGTAAGTAATGCTGACACATTTCATTCGTATGGCACAATAGTATATGTTGTTTCTCCATTTTTAATCAAAATTACATGCTAGGAATCTCAAACTCATTAAAAAAGTATTACTTTGATAAAAACGTCGTTTGCAGAATAAAAAAGTACATTTAAACATTTCTCCTTAGTAACCACAACTCGGTTCCACGAGGCATTGCACTCGAAATAATTGCTTTACCTGAACGACCGGTGGATGCTGGGAGACTGGGATGTCTGGGATCGTCGGATTCGCCAAGGCGTTCGACACAGTGCTGATGTGGTTGTTGTTGTTGTTCGGGAACACGAGCTTGTTATCTTTGTCGGTCACCTCCTTCGTCACGTCCGGCGTCGGGATCCTTGGTCTGTTCTTCAGGTTCGCTGGGATCGCTGTAACATTAAGTTTACCAGGACCTAAAACACAAATCGGTTTATTGTTTCGGGTCCATCACCAAAACTATGGATATGAACTATATAGGTGCAGTGAGTGTATTTATGTGCATAAGTGCTCTCCCACAAGAGAACGCAAGATTCTCCCTATAGAGTACCCCATTTAAACTATTATTCGGTCCAGTAGGTTTTGACGTAAATGGTATGCAGACATTGCCTTAATAACCAGAGGCATTATTCACACTCCAAAACCATCCAAACTGGACGTTGCCTAAACATTTCGGGCACACAATAACAAAATCAAACAACTATTTTTAGAAATGGGGATTGGTTCTATGATCCCGAAAGCATCCCTTCCTAAAAAGTTTTAACAGATTACAGGGAGAAGAAGAAATAAAATACAATATGGCGTACAGTTCACTCCAAGTAAAGTAATCAGGTACATATATTCAGGGGAAGCCAAAATTTGAGCATTCAAATTCCTTAGGGAAGTACATCTGAAATCAATACTTGTGCCATAAAAAATCTTAAAATATGAATTGTCTAAAAATCTTATCTGACAGATTAGCAACCATAAAACATGAGCACATAAAAAGGTCATATCTTAATAGTAGTTAAATGCATGTAAAACCTCCAAAAACTGGGAAATCATCGTGGATGCAACAACAAAACGTAGTTTAGTGTAATAAAAAAAATCAAATTGGCAACAGTAAGATCTGCAAGATGTACGCCAAGAACCTATACTTGAGGTAATTAGATCAAACTCAGACTCCTCCATGGGACTATAAAAAACACAAAATAGAAGTAAACGAGTAAAATTTGTCCAAATCCAAAATAATAGGTAAATGCATGTTAATGGATCCAATGTATATTGTGAATGGATGTAATACCTCCAAAACCTGGGAAAACTTGTTGCTGCCACAACTCAAAGAAGTTCTGGGTAAAGGAAAAGATGACACACTGGCCAGAGGAGAATCTGCAAGACTATATAAAGAACCAGACCCTATACTTGGGATAACAAGGGCATCAGGTTCCCGCATGCTACTCGGTAGTCCTTAAAAGGACAATGAAGACAGAGACTCCACCATTTCAGAATGGGTCCAAAACATCTCAAACGAGACTCTCTCTAGACAAAATAAGTTCATGATTAAACAAAACTGGCAAGCACATTGCTACATTTAGACCGGGGAAAAATGAAGGTTAAAGCGATAGGAGCCATTGACATATTAGAAAGCACCTAATCTAATGGGTGGAATTTTACGTAATGAAGAGACAGACAACCTGGTCAAAAGAGGATCAGGCCAACCATTGGCCAAGAATCTATATTTCGGGTAATGAGACCAAACACAGAGTTTTCTATTTTCGATTTTGGATTCAGAAAAAAACAAGAGGAGAAAAGGTGAACTTTTTGAGAATGAACTTCAGAGGTGCTAGACACAGTAAATTAACAACCTTCACCAAAACTGCCAACTTATTGCTATAGTGGGACAATCAGGGCAAAACTCAGGAGTATGATAGCCCATTTGTAGGATATGAGATGAAACTGCCAAACATATTATCCGAGGAAGCTGGAAAACCAAGGGAAAAGAGTTACAACAATGACAGTCAACTGAATACTTCTTAACAGAGGGATCCAGTCAATTGAACTAAAGTAGGGAACTAAGAAAGTACAAAAGGTCAGAAGGCTGCAGTGCTTGGGAAATACAAATCCTGCTTTCTAGCATTCCATTATCATAATCACCAACATCAAGCAACTTGATCCATCAATTTCGTTGTAATATTATGTTTAGTAGTCTATCCTGAGCGTCATGCGTTTATATCCCATGGTTTTAATTGTAATTAACGTTCCATGCCGGTTTGTACCGAAAAGAATTTCAGTGCACAGAATACAAAAAAAAAAAAAAATCACTCACTTTACCGACCAGAGTTCATAAGAAGAACATATAGGACAATACCTCTTCCTCTCCTGGTCGATTTGCGGCCAATAAGCCTGTCGTATATTGACATCTTGTGGTGAGGCTGGGCGTGCTGTTGGTTCTGGGTATGCGGCAGCTGCCCAACCGGGCCCACCTGTATTACCGCGTCAGGACTGGAATATACAGAATTATGCCTAGTCCTGTTCCCTCCAAAAAGGCCCGAGCTATACATGGTCGACGACGACCTGATCGAACCCATACGCTGCATCTGTCTCTGAAACCAATTCTTTCGTCTCTCAACTAACGGTGTATCCACGCTTTCCTGAAACATCAAAAAATCACTCTTTAAATCGAAAAATATATCAACAACTTGCAAATAAATATTACAAATAATATCCCATTATTATGAACGTTAAAATAATAAAATGTACTGTATATTAAGTTAGTAAGAAATCGTTGAATGGAGATTCTCCCTCACAGCTTTATGTCCTGACTCTTTCAGACTACCAACTCTTCCGAGCAATAGCCATCTTTCAAAAGCAAAAACGAGGCTGACATAAAAACTTGAGAAGACGCCGAGTAGATTCAAGTAGATATCATCTATATAAAAATTAGACATATGTCATTTGGTCGTTTTTTTCTTTTTTTTACGAGGGTTCGCAACAGCAGAGGTCATATAAACCCCAGAGTGCCGGTGTTTTTGAAAAAAAGCCCATTTGTAAGTATGTTGGGTTCGAATGCAGGGCCGCTGGATTCGAATCCGGGACCTTTACCTTACAGTGATGAGCGCCGTGTCAACGAATAAACCTTGCGGCCACCGACGCCCCCATTTGGTCGTTATCAATCATTTTGGTGTGACTAACCTCATGGGTTGGGCTGTCAGACGCGTTGCGTATTATCCTATCTTCAAATTTGGGTCTGTGTGATTTCTGTGAAGTCAAATCTCTCTTAAAAGATCATGAAGGAAATTGCGTATTGTCATTGCATTTTGGTGCCTATGGTGGATTAAGTGTGAGATTTTTATTGTTCCAATTGTTTTGTCTCTTTTCATTTTGAGTCATGATAATTTCTCTCTTTAGGACGTAATGTTTCGTCTATTGTGTCCGATCTCTATTTTCCTGGTAGATTTTCGTTTGTTTAATGAGTTAAAGTATTTATTATCAGGGCTATGGTATCTAGGTCTATATTGCTCAGAATGGCTTTTTCATGTGCGATAGTAGTTCCTTTTTTTGCTTGTATGTCTACTGCCTAATTGCCTCAAATCTCCGTACGACCTAGGACCTACCTTAGCGTTACGCTATTTCTAGTTCCCGTAGTTATTAAGTATTCTGACAGGTTTTGAGCTGAACTCGTAAGCTTGGAGAACTTGTAATTTTGGTATTAGTTCTCTGCTTTTTTTGTTCTATGTTTGGCCATCGTGTGTAAATTACATTATGGGGCTAATCCATAAAATCACTTTAGGAATCTGCTCCCAAGTTCTTCCAAAGACATTTTGGCATACCCTTTGTGCCTTTGGGGACGTGGGTTCTTTTAAGGTAGGTCCACGTTAAGATTTGGTCGAGAAATACTCCTAGGAAATTTTCGTAGTAGTTTCCTTGCTTTTGTGTCCTATGTTTGGCCTACGTAATTTTCACCATGGGGTCTGTACCATAAGGTCATCGTAGAATTTAGCCCTCAAGTTCTATCAGTCTTTGGTATATCCATTGTGCTTTTAGTGCAGTAGTGCATTCTCTTAAAGTTCACCAAAATTCCACGTTAACCTTTGGTCAAAAACTACTCTTACGTACGTAACTTCTCGGGAATCCTATATTTCATGGTTTCAATCGGTTATGGATTTAGCCTTTTTTTTTACTATGTATGTAACAATTGTGCCTTCTTTGAGGAGTTTATTTATAGACCCTTTTCTTGGCACCATATCAGTGTTAAATTTAAGGCTTTTTGAACAGTTTTATCTTCGATCTATTTGCCTCTGAATATTATGACTACTGACCGTTTTAATATTGACAATTTGCGTACGGTTGTACGTCAAAGCATGTGATTTGCCCCAGTAAGTCGTCTGCTACCACTGACAATAATTGTTTTCTTTAAAGGTTGTGTAATGAATAGAAAATATATTTTTAGTGTGTAAAAATAACTAGATAATCATGTTAGTATAAAGCCTGGATGAAAAAAGTGAAAAGCAGAAAGGAGCCAGAGGTCGTTAGTTGAATAAATTCTCATCGACCTTATTTTCTTTTTCATAAATTTTGATGTTAGCCGGGTTATAATCGACTTTCGGTTTCCTTTACAATTGTTATAGACAGGGGAGGAGAACAAAAGGTTGATTTCTCCTGTAATGATTCTGTTTACGAAAGTGGATTAGTACACGATAATACGTCAAACAACTTTCCACCATCACAAATAATCGGGGTTATTCTCGAAATGACTAAAAGATGTCTGTTTCACTCGCATGCCGATCAGACCGTCGGCATTAATCGCCGATCGGAAGAAATTCCAAAGACCGACCCCCAAGGAACGATTGGAAGGAAAAATAATGATTATTTAAAGCCGGCCGATTATTTAATGAAAAATAAATTGCTTAGAATAAACGCCTCGCCGAATCGTTTCGGAGGTCGCGACCTTCACAGAAGACACGCTGCTGAGGAATGCCGATGGCCATTACATGCTTGAAGAACTTTAGAGCTTAGAATTTTTATTAATATAAATGGAGAAAATATGTCATCTACTACAACTCTCAACACTGTGTATCATACGAATCGCTATCATAGGCTAGGTTTTTAAGCCTATTGGCCAAAAAAGGACGAATAAATACAAAATGTACTTTTTATTTTACTGTTCAATTTTCTTAGTCAACAATACTTAGAATATCGGCGTTTCAATTGACTGGTGAAACTTAGCTAACGGGCTTGGGTTGATGGAAGATTTTGCATTTGGCTTTCTCTACTTTTGGAAGTTCTAAGTGTAAGGGAAGGTCCAGTACATAAGTAGGTGGCAACTGTAATGCTTGGTTCACTCTGACAGTTCAATACCATAAGTAAATTATATCAAATATTATATACTTATATCAAACTTTTGAAGTTGACATAAATTGCAATCGTTTTTCAAGTATTGGTGATAGTCTGTAACGTCTGTTTGGTGTGTTCGTTTTAGTTCTGCGTGCGGATTTCCATAGTTGAAGTCCCAAGAAACCATCGTAACAAGTAATCAAGTACGTTCGACAGAGGGTAGTGAAATTCCGTAAAAAATATGTCGAGGCGTAGTAAATAATTCTGAATGGGCTTACGGATTTTTATGCAAAGAAATTGGAGTGGATTGTTTCTGGGAGGATAATAATACGAGCTGTATATACATTGTAAAGGAGAGGTGCTCCTTTGTTAGACGTCAGCTTGGTTGCAATTTCATCCTCACCAATCATCATGATCTGCCTATCTAGGTTAGTCTGTTAGGCTTGTTTCAAATGATATCATGATAAATAATGGTTTTATTGGTGATATAGTGTTTTCGGTGGAAAATGGATGCATCTAGCTGACCGCAAAAATAAAAAACTCCGACTTAATCCACCAATGACACTGAACAACAAAGAAAACAACGACACACGCCACCCAACGCCGATCTGGTAGAAGAAAACCTCACTTTACAAAAATACACTCTAAATAGTGAAAATCCATTCCGTGTGGTTCTCCAAGTTCTGAGAAGAACGGGAGGATCTTTAGTGATCATGCTTTGGGACCTGCATGAACAATTTACAGTTTCACCCCGCAGAACACAGGACGAATTCTCACTGTTTGCTAAAGATAGATATGGGATATCGCTATGCTATGTCTACCCCTGAAGAAACGGTTAGACTGGTTCGATTTTAGGATTAGATATTTGGGTAGCCCTTCGGTTTCCGCAGGAAGCCCTGGTGTCAAACCCTATCGACGCTACACACCCGGACCACACTGCTTTCGTTTGAATGACGTTGATGGATTTTGAGGTGTAGAAAATTAAATCCAATCTGGTGGCTCGAAGCAATTTCCTAAGATTCTGTTATCCCGTTCCGACCAATGGGGGAAAGTATTTGAAAGGAAAAATCGTTTCACCCCATTATCAGTAACAACCGTACTATCGGGGAATACAGAGATTCAGATTAGCAAATCATTAGATCATAGTGCATCCCTAAACACCCCTAATATTCATACCAACCTTAACCATCACTACCGATTACTAGATCCTTAATGTCCACAAAGATGCACAGAAATACACGGAATACTGACAGTTCACGAAGATTATCGCATGGAAGCTAGCGAATAGTAGATCGCGAAATAGAGATAAATAGATTAAAGATATTTCAGGTGCTTATTACTTTACTTCTGCTTGATACGTAATGGGTCGAAATGAGGTTCCCAAGGGAACACATGGGTAGATCGAACGAAATGCACCCGATGGGTTCCCGGTTTTGTAACAGCAGCTTCGCTGTCGCGAATTTTACTTATTGCAGGAAAGAGACAGGGCGGTTGGATGATAGAAGATTAATAGGTTTTTTTAGTTTATGCCTATGTTTCACAGGACGGAGGTAGTGTAAGTAAGGAAAACTAAGGCTTTTCAAGGCTGAAGGATTTGTCCCTTTGTACAATGATTTGATTGTAATCAAATCAAAACCAGGTCTACTTTTGAAAAATAGAAGACTGATTTCGTGTTTATTGTGGCTTTAGGAAGGAAAGAAAGAGGTAAAGGAGTATTCAAGTACGATTTCATTTATATGTAGAAGATTGTGGTTTTTGATGTGTGCCGTCAAGTGGTTGGATAGGTGCTGGCCAAAGAGAAAGGAATTTTTCTTCTTCGGACTTGACCCAAGAGACCCCGCATTATCAAAATATTGCATTTACATATTGAAAGTGCTTAACAGTTAAATACTCTTATATAAAATAATTAAAAAATAACAACCAATTGTTTGTATTGTTAAATTAAATTGTTACAATGGTACAATTAGATTGTAACTAATTAGTTAAAGGCTTATAAAGGTAAATTAGTAAAATGTTTATCCTGCAGGATAAGCAGCTGAAAATATCTCATTGTACATAGAAAAACGTACCTAACGCCGTTGTTTATGATGACAAGAATGACCTTATGGTTTAGTAGTTTTTGAATAATACAGGGTGTTGTACGTTCTCTTGAGACGTTGATTTTCCGTTACCATTGAGATTTGAACGAAATTGGTGGAAATTTTTCAAAAAACTTTTTCAAAAGTCCATGGGGGTCAAATCAGGTCTATTCCACGGGACTCTTTTTTTTAAACGAGGATCAATATATCAACATATTAATAAGAATCCCAATTGAACA